GAGGCAGAGAGAGAGGCAGAGAGAGAGGCAGAGAGAGAGGCAGAGAGAGAGGCAGAACGAGAGGCAGAACGAGAGGCAGAAAGAGAGGCAGAAAGAGAGGCAGAGAGAGAGAGAGAGGCAGAGAGAGGCAGAGAGAGAGGCAGAGAGAGAGAGAGAGAGACACAGAGAGGAAGAGAGAGAGACAGAGACAGAGAGAGAGGCAAAGAGGGGATGAGTTTGCGAGAGGGCTAGTTTGACATTAAATCACAGAGCTTATTTGTGTTCGTGGTGCTCTTTTCCTTTACAATTAACGCTCTTTGTTTGTGCTAAAACTAAATCGTATAATCCTTTTTAGTTCCCTTACGTTGGGTTTGAAAAAATTGTTACGAGAGTCACTCGTTTGTGACTAAATACTAAACAAATGATGGAGATTGTAAATTACTAGTCATCCAACAGAATTAAATTACTTTTTGGAATTCCGCACTGATTGTTCTTAATGTTGGAAACCGAATGATTGACTCCTAGTCAGTTTCAAAACCCGCCTCAGATTATTCGTTTCGATGCTCCGCAGCTCTGTCAGTGAATGTCGTGCACAATAAGAATTGTTCGAATCGTATAACCGACCAAGAAACCTTTCATCCCTACAAACCAAGAAATGCAATAACATGGCGATGAATCTCCGGGAATAGTTACAGGAGTATATTTCTACGCAAGTTAGAATCTCTTTATGGTTTGGTATGTGTCCTTTAATTCACTACCGCAAAGTAAGTCTTCTTTTTTCAGTATTAAACACACTGAAGTGTTGAAATCCTTCAGTTTCCCTCGTCCGTCTCACATTGTAGCCACGCCATCTTCTTCCTTTTACAATACAAGTACAATTTGGCATTATAATATTGTTTTTGTTATTTAAGGTCGCATCGACTTCTAGGTCATTAGAGACTACTATTGCTTGTAACGGTATGGTAACTATGAGGATAACACGATATGATTATGATAGGGGGTGAAAGGACGAACACAATACAACCATGCCTGAGGTGGGACTCGAACCCGCGATCTTTCGGTCCGAGATCGCTTCGGCACTACTGCCTTAACGATCTCGGCCATTGAATCAACACTATAAATTCTAATACACTATTTTATAGCATTATAAAAATTACGATTTAGCATTTTGTAGCATTTGTTACTTACTTTGAGAACGAGACAGAGAGACACAGAGACTGTGAGACAGTGTGAGACAGAGAGAGTGACGGTGAGACAGAGAGAGTGACGGTGAGACAGAGAGAGTGTGTTAAAATATTACTCCTATTTAGATACGACTCTTAAAGGTAAAATTATTTTGATGTTTCTTAGTTTTTCGTATTAAAATTAGGGAATAATGGAAACGAATTTAACGCTTAGCTATTTGTGAACTTCAACTTGTATAAAAGCGTAAGAAGGTTAAAAGCGTAAGGAGTAAGGCGTGCGTCGTAGACGTAAGGGCTTAGGGTCTTTTTCCAGTGACCTTCTCCAAAGAGAGAATTGAGGAAGCTGAAACCCCTTGAATGACCCTCAGCGCTCAGATTTTTAGGGTCAAATTTGTCATTGCATAATTACTTTTTACATTTTTTTCAGTTCAATTTTATTTATAAATTAATAATCTCGGCCACTCTCAAATAATATGTCTTCAAACATCGATCTGTTGTTGTCGATGTCACATTCCTAGTTAGCGAACGCGAAGGAAACCATAAAATGCAATATATCAATTATATCGCAGATTCACGACCATTTCACGCTCTGTACGTAATTTCGCATTCTGCGAGCGATTTCGCATTTTATCACAGAGTAAAAACCTTCACAATTAAACTGCACCGACCGTCAATTACAATTTTTTTCTGCGTTAGATAACAATTCGCATTTTTCGCAATTGCTAACATTTACCATCTCTATTGATGCCCGAACCCCTCTGTCTCCACACAACAAATCAGCTTCGGTTGAATGCCCTTCATTGAATCATAAAGGCCTTATCTCTCTGTAGCCTGACAGTTGTTCCACGGCAACATTAGCATCATAGCAACGAAACAGAAATGTCCGACAGAACGCAATCATGGCCGCAAGTGCCATGGCGCTCAAACAGCGCTAGCAAGGGTCGCGACATCAATGATTATGCGTATTGGAGTTTGCGAAAAACGTGTATTTTCTACCATTTCAAATTAGTTTTACACCGAAATATAACGTCCTTAGGGGGTTTGCCGATTACAGTTTTCTTGAGTAGGAATAATTTTTTCCATGCTCAATAAGAATTTCTGCAAATAGCTAACTTCCCTTACGAGAGAGTTGAAAGGAAATGGGGACAGCTTGAATGGCTGACTCAAAAAGTGTTCATTTGCACACGTGATAGAGCATGAGGGAGTCTTCGCAGGGCGTACGTATATGTGACACGGCATGACGGAGTCCTCACAGAGCGCGCACTAACTCATGTGAAAGGGCATGAGGGGGCAGGTTCACGCACTTACTCATGTGATATAGCATGCCAGCGTGCACTTACTCATGTGGTAGAGCATGACAGCGCGCCCTTACTCATGTGAAAGAGCATGAGGGGATACGTTCGGACACTTACTCGTGTGGTAGAACATGACAACGTGCACTTGCTCATGTGGTGGAGCATGAGAGCGACTTCACAGAGCATACATTTGCTCATGTGATAGAGCATGAGGGAATCCTCACAGAGCGGGCGCTTACTCATCTGATGGAGCATGACAGCTTGCACTTACTCATGTGAAAGAGCAGGAGGAGTAAGTTCGCGCACTTACTCCTCTGATAGAGCATTACAGCTTGCACTTACTCATGTGAAAGAGCATGTGAGCGTACACTTACTCATGTGAAAGAGCATGTGAGCGTACACTTACTCATGTGAAAGAGCATGTGAGCGTGCACTTACTCATGTGAAAGAGCATGTGAGCGTGCACTTACTCATGTGAAAGAGCATGACAGCGTGCACTTACTCATGTGAAAAAGCATGACAGCGTGCACTTACTCATGCGAAAAAGCATGTGAGCGTGCACTTTCTCATGTGAAAGAGCATGTGAGCGTGCACTTACTCATGTGGTAGAGCATGAGGGCGTCCTCGCGGATCTCGCGCCGCTCGAAGTTCTGGAAGGCCTGGTTGGTGGGCGCGAAGACCGTCGCCTGGCGGTAGGCCAAGGTGCTGTTGGCCGCCGGAGTGCGCTCCAGAAGCGCGTACAGCTGCAACACACCAGACGCCCCCTCGTCACACACACAACATCTCAGGAAGCGGCTTTAGCGGCGTTGCGCCCATCGTGCGGGACTTGAAAGCTCAAACGAAATTTTCTCGGAAACAATACATTTTCTAGCAAATATGTCCGTAGGAAAACGTATTGCACTTTCTGATATTCTCATTTCCATTCAAGTAATAGGAATTGAGAAAATATGAAAAAATATTTTTTTCGATAAAACAGAAATTCCTGGATATAAATATTAAACAAAAGAAAAATAAACCATTGTGTTAAATGAGACATTCTCTAAATACTTTATTTCATATTTTCTGTAGTTATTTAATTTCAAGAAATTTGTTCTTAATGAGTGCGATGTTGATAGATTTTATTGCTAAAGTAACTGAATTGTTGCTGTAGAAACATATGGTGTCAGTCAATAAGATATGTAGATTCAAAGTTGCAAAGAGTTTTATAGGCGGCGAATGCGTCACATGCAGTTTCATTTATTGATCTTATGTTGCATAACAATAACACGTTTCCATCTGCACCTAGGGGAGGGAGAGGGAGTGTCGCTTAAGGGCGCAGACACGAAAACTCTTAGTTCGAAACTCGTATAAAACCAATACTTTCACTTGTTGTAGGTATTTGGGAGGGAGGAGGGCATTTCCATCCACCGTGGAGCATATCAGTACTCTAACCTTCCTATAACGTGTTGCCTACTCAGTACTTTAACCTCCTTCCTGTAATCAATATCTGTGAGAGAGGTACGCGTGCATTACGTGTGTGTAATTGAAAAACCGAATCCCTACCCACAGAGTAATGAATCAGCCACGGAGATGGGTCTAGGGGCTATCATGTGTGAATAATTGAAATGGTTCAGGGGCATCAACAATGGGTTTGGTTTAACGCATGTCGGCGCGACGCGTCTCTTCGCTGAACATAGTCCCCCGGAGAGTGGCAGGAATCCCTGGGAAGGGGGGGGGGGGGCTTTTAGGTAGCTGTGAAGTGGGGAATATCCGAAAAGCAAGGCGATCGATCTGATCTATGGTACTCGATACTGCAATGTACGCTCATAAAAATGGCGCAGGTTTCATATATGTTGAATTCTCTATGTTATGGAAAACTTAAAATCCAGTTGGTAAAGAGGATCCGAAGAGTTATTAAGATACACTGTCTTGTATTAGTGGAACGTGTTCTTCAAAATTAGATCTTTGAGGTATTGTGATATACATTTTTTTTAAATATGAGTATTTTTTGGGTAATTTCGAGTGAAATGAAGGCAGTTTTAAAAACATGATTTCTTAAAGCACCTTTGCTATATGAAAAAGTCAGAAGCTTCGATATTAATGTTGTTATTAATATTAAATATTTAAATAATTTCATATACATTTTTTCAAAAAATATTAGTCTTCACTTATTTTAAAATATACTGAGGTAAAGAGTATTTTTTTCGAATCTGTACTACATCTCCAATACTGAAGTTATAGATTCATCTCTTAATCAAATCTATTTGTCCATTCTGAAACACCATTAAACCGTTTGACACAAAATATGAGTGATATCAGCGATTTTTGAAAAACTGACTTAAGTGTGAAAAGGAATTTCGAATACGAAGATGAGAGGATTTCCAATACTGAAGGTAGAGATTTATTTCTTAATGCAGTACATTTGCCAATTAAAATCTTTAAATTATTCCTTTTTTTCGAACTGAGTGATTTCTAGATTTTTGAATTTTCTGAATGAAAATCTAACAATTTATACCAGTATTGCGACTTCTAAGAAAGATTTGTTGTCGTAACGCAGTGATCAAGGACTTCATTTTCTGAATCCAAGTGCCTAGATTCCCGTCTCAGTTTTGCGAAATATTGTTTTACAATTTGTAAACTCTTTTATGCGTTCTCGTTGCTTTAAAAACTTTTTGTACACATTTAGCACCGATCTACAAAAACTTCTTACACAAACCTAACCACTTTTATTAAACTTCTGAAAGAGCTTAAACCATTACATTTTAAGCTTCAAGAACGAAAATAATGTGTTAAAATTAGAAGTCTTAGGGAACGTTTTCGAAAGTAATATTAATAGTTCCCACGGCAGAGAAGAAAACTTTGCTGATTGCAAACATGTTTATGCAGAACAGCAAGATTGCGTAACCGTTACAAAGAATGCGAGAAAATGTGTTGTTGTAGCACCAGTAGTAGTTACATAAAAACTAGTACTGGTTTCCTTATTGCGGATGGTAATAATTGGTCGGAATTCTTTAAGTATGTTCGAAGAAGGAAGGGAAATGAAAGCGAGATACAAGTTGTTCGTTTATAATTCGCCAATAAATGAAGAGATAAAGCAAACGCTTTTAACGAGTAATTATTATTATATTTTTTGTATTTAAATAACGTGTAACGTGTATTTAAGTAACGCGTAAAACTAACTATAGTGTGGTTGTTGTTACTCTGCCCCTCAAGGCCCGACTTCACGGTGGCCGTCACACGGTGGTCCTGAATTGAAATGTATCTTCGCACTTCCTATTGAGTTTCATTCTCAAAGGCGACATGACACGCCCAGCTCTCCTGCTCCCCTCCGCAACCCTGTGCTTTCATCACCGTACGGCGATCTGCTGAAAGGTATAAACTACACTTTTTTTTGGGTTTCAGTTCCTCTCTCGCAGGCGAAATACTCTCTCCGCTCCCTCGCGCGACTGCGCACTCTCATCTGTTCAAACACTTGATGCAGGCATGCCAAGGTCGCAGGCAACGTAACACGTTCACTAGAGCTCGCGGGCATTGCGTCCAGGGAAATTGGCGCGAGATTTAAAGGTAAGGATGGTGCAAATGGCTACGGAGTGGCAGTGCGTCACTGGATGCCCGGTCCATGGCAATTTTTGGGAGAAGTTACTTGACAGTTGTCACAAATTTAGCTATTTTAATTCCCATTTTCTCTTTAAGCAAAGAAATGATCCGTTAAAATGAAACCATACATGAATTAGATTTCAAACTTTCGACTGGGAGTAAAATTTAAAGTTAAATCAAAAGTATCTTGATTGTGTAATCCTCTTTACTAAAGAGAGATATAAAATTATCTACGTTTAGGTAATGATAAACAAACAAATATTCTTGTCCGTTAAAAGTGATGTCCGTACGTAAGCGAGAATTGTTAATTTCACAGAGAGACGTGTTAATTTCACATTACTGCCAAATGCAATAAATAACTGAATGATTTAATAACACAAAACGAAAAGAATGAAAGAATCTCCTTTCAAACACATCCCCGTCACTTCGCAAAGATTTTTATATAAGGGAGAAATTATTAAGAAATGAAAAAGTAATACATATTGAAGAATATGAACATAATAAAATTATGGGTTATTTGACAGAAAAAAATTGGCAAACTTTTTCGTACGAAGCAATTAGCCACTCCAGCTTGCGCATGTGCACGCTCATCCCCTTTCTGTATTTTAAGGGGAAATAGTGCGGAGGCAGGGGAAGTTGCCCGCACCCGTGTGAGCACCGGGCTCCCCAGGCGAGCAAGTACCTCGGGCGGGCCTCACGTAGCTCAATCAAGTATTTTCTCGATACGGCCCTGTCTACCAAATGTCTACACTTGGCAGTTTCCATTGGTTTTTGCACCCCTCCGCAAGCTCAGCTTCTCCAGCGCTTAATCCAATCCAGTCCCTTTCGCACATCACGCCTCTGTGTTCAAATATCTCAACTTGACATGTTCTATTAGTTTCAGTTTCATTCTCAAAGGCGACATGACACGCCCCGCTCTCTTGCTGTATGCGTAACGCCATCTCGTAAAGGACCAAATACAATCGAGTGCCTTCGCCTCGCTATGGCACTTCAATCAAAAGTCAAAACTTCGCACTTTCCATTTGGCTTTAGTTCCTCTCTCAATGGCGAAATGACAACCCTGCTGCCTTGTATCTCTGCGCATCCTACCCTGCTACAGCACATAAATGACAAACTCGCTGCATCGCGTATCTGCACAAGAAGTTCATGCAATTGAGGGTCTTCGTCAAGCTATGGCCCTTTGTGCGAAAGGCTAAACATCAAACTTTCTGTTCGTTTCAGTTCCATTCTCTAACGCGAAATGTCAATTCCGCAGACTCTCGCCTAACCTGTTAGAGCGCTTAATTCAATCGAGTGCATTCGTGACAATACGGTCCTGTTTTCAAATATTTAAACTTCGCCCTTTCCATTGGTTCCCACTTCTTTCTGAATGGTGAAATGACGACCCATCTGCCTCAGGCTTCTGCGAGACCCACCTGCTCTTAATGCCATCAAGTTCCTTCCTCTCGCGTAGCTATTCAGCTAGCTATTGGCACTTGCCACGTACTCTCGCCAGCTGCCATCTATAGCCGCCCAAAGTACATTGTTTTGAAACACATAGACAGAGAGAGACACAGATACACACAGTCAGAGAAACCCACAGACACAGTCAGAGACAAACAGACACAGTCAGAGACACACAGACAGAGACACACAGACACAGTCAGAGACAAACAGACACAGTCACAGACAAACAGACACGTTTTTCGGTAGCAGAGGACTCCAAAACGTGCATTTCTGTTGAAATCTCGAAACTGATTTTCCGCAGCATTACATAACTTTCCCTGTACTACATATATTACTCCAAATATACGTATGTATACGGGAAAGGAAAAAGGAAAAAACACTATTTTATTACAGGAATAGGGCATATGAAAAGGCATTGTCCAAAATTGAAAAAGGTAGAGAATCTGAGCAAGTTAATAGGGTAGCCACTTCAAGTAACAAAATATTAGAACCAAACACGTCGAGTCTTTAAATGCAGCGGTAAATGGCCTTACGAAAGCATTCCACGTTATATCGCATGATCTCCTTATTAGGAGTGCAGTTCTCGACAATGTTGCGTCAGGGAAATGTTTTAGTGCCGTTACTTTTCTTAACGTACGTGAATGCTCTCCATGTTAGCATACAATCAAAGGTATATATATCTGCGATTGTATTATATACTGCGATTATATACTACGATAAA